ATAAAAACTGTAGAAACAACCTCTAAAAATGTACTTGCAGAGGTGACAGAGGCATGTTCTGAGCAGCTGGGGGCATTTTATATGCTAAAATATGATGATTGCATGAATTATGAAGTCCTGATCTTTACTGTTCTACCACGAGGTAATCACTAACTTCAGCTAACAGAAACAAGAATTTAGACATATGAAGGAGAAGCAATTATGTCCATCAGATATTAATGCAAAGAAAAAAACCTCAAATACATCCACATTATGAAACATATATGTTTAAATTGCTACATCTCTCAGTTGTTTTGATATACTCAATTAAAGACAGATTAAAGAGCTCAGAATATACTTGTACTTTCAGGACATAGTAAAAGAATTTCCGCTATATCAGCTTCTTCAGAAATAATATTGCTCATATGTGACGGGATTTTCATGTTTGAACTGTGGCTCGGGTTCATGTCCAGTTAGAGGACTGGTATAAATATTTAAAACAATACTTAGAAAATACATCAGTTGCATTTGTATTACCAGTTTTCTGAATGTACTGAGCGCTGAATCTTAAAATGATTTGGAAAAGACCGTTTTTAATCTCTTTTTTAAAAGGTCATATTTGTCTATAATGTTATAAAGCATCTTGCTCAAAAATACATGAATGCAATTTAGTTTGTAAAAGCTGCTGAGAGTAAGTGCACGCTATGGCTAAAAACATGCATTTCCATGCCTTTCTGGTCGCAGCCTACTTTTCTTATTTGGGTCGGCTTCTGTTGGCGTAATCAAAGAAATCATCTGCATTAGTCCAAATTATATAAAATAAAACTGTAGCTCTTGATCCTGATCTTCAGTAAATTAACGTACCCCGTTATATGTATTGACTATACATTATAGTCAATACATAATTATGTATATAATGTATTACTTGTTTGACCGCCAACTTAAACAGTGCAATGTCCCAAATCCTTCAAAAACACACTGATGAAAAAAAAGGTGCAAACTTTTTAACGCAGTATTTTTTCACTATTCAGTGTATGCATGTGTACACATTTTTAATGGTTTTACTATGTTTATTATATACATACATAATGCTGACTGCGTTATATGTAATATATGTATGTATATATGTACATAAATATGTTCATTTGATTTTTTGCGACGGAGCACCAGAACAGTACTGCCAGCACCTCTTTCAGTCACTCGTGGGTCGACATAGCGAAGGTGACACTGTGTTATATTGTAATATTACACAAGCTCAACAATGTAGGTACACTTCTCAAGTAGATATCTTTAGCTAGCTTACATATCATAAATGCCTATTTTTTCATTTGAAAATAATTTCCTATTATGATGGTGACACTGACGCCTGGATTTCTTATAGGAAAGATGCTTTACAGAGTGACCAATCGTATTTGAATTATTAGAGCACTACCTGCATGCATATACTACTAAAACCTAACTTCTTCTGCTACTAGAACTACTACGCCACAAAAAATGATAAAACAACATTTGAAAAAGTACGTCTAAAGTACACGGTCTCATATGAAGTATTTCTAATTGTCTGCAAGTTTTAAATTAAACCAATTTAAATATTTCTTCCAGATATTTAAGTCTGTCTGTATTTAAAACTATACCTTGCATTAAGCCACTTACAGAACTACCTGCATGTGTGTGCTTAAACTGAAGCATTTTTCAGGCAGGTGTGTGACCTACATGCACGATGGTAGTTAGTGTGACTTCATCAACACAGGTATATTACTGGTAGAGTCTACCTATTTAAAGGCAGGCCTGGCACATGTTTTTGCACCTAAATTGATGCATCTTTAAGCAGGTGTGGTGCTGAACTTTATGTGCATTTCTTCTTCAGCTATCATTTCATTAAAGCAGCCACATAATGAATATTCAAACTTCAATTTAAACTTTTGAAAAAACCAGTTGTGGTACAGAAAGTGTGACCACATTAGTGTAATATTATCGAAGCACTATTGTAAAGATCTTACAAATCTTTAGTTAGTTGTAGTAACTAGCTGACATTATGACATCTTCACGCAAGCTTACGTTAGAGCTACCTGTAAGTGTGCGCTTATACTGAGGCTTCGGTTTAAGCGCATATGTTTTTGTACCTAAATTGAGGCATCTTTTTAAAGTCATAGTGGTGCAGAACGTCATGTGCATGTGTATTTAACCTGCAAAGCATGTCCAAACTTTTATGAAAGCAGGTCTGAAATAGATATATTTGTGTGTGAGTTTAAATTGTAAATCTTTTGAAAGAATACTGGTATCGAGCTGCATGCACGACAGTAGCTGGTGTCACGTTATCAGATACATAACTGTTGGGCTTTGCTGACGCCATTCTGTATCTGAGCCTTGCGAGTCTGTATTTAAAAATGTAACCTGCATGTGTCCACTGGCATTATGACTTTATGTGCGCTCATTACAGAGCTATGTACACATGTGCACTTAGATTTCTTTTTAAAAAGCCATAGTGGTGGAGAACTTTGTGTGCATGTGTATTTATAAAAAGAATTCATAAGCCATGTTCAAACCTAAATTTTGACTTTTAGTAGATACAGATCTACTGTGCATGTGTGTGTGTGTGTGTGTGTGTGTGTGTGTGTGTGTGTGTGCCACCTACAGTTGCATATTTTTTGATGAAAGTCTGGTACAGAGTTGCATAAACCGTTAACCTGCGCTGACTGTAGCTAGTGTAACTTCATCACAGCAGACATACTGATATAGTTTGCCTTTTTAAAAGCAGGCCTTGTATATGAGTGTGTGAAACTGAACATGAAACTGCACTGTGCTCATCAGATTAAACCCTAACCTCGACCACACACACACACACACACACGGGCTTCCTGATGCGTATATTTTCAGTTTATCTTTGCTCTTATCTAACCAGACGTGTTGTCAGCTTATAAATGACCATGAAATGAAACGTGCAGTGAAAGGAGGCGTTGCAGCTGTGATGTGGGCTTCCTTTCAGCTTCAGATGCAGAAACTTCAGGTGGATCTTTATGAGAATGAACAGAGTGGCACTCAGCTGAAAATTGTTATCTTTATTGATTAAGAAAAAAAAAGTTTGAGCATGCGGTTTAAGCACCTCTGAGCTGATGTTTTTCATATCATCACCATCATGATGTGTGAAAGTGACTTTTCACTATTCTGTCATAGTTTCTCAACACAAAACTATAATTCTGTCTGACCATTCAGTTAGAAGTGTGAAAGCAGAGTTTCTTTATAAACGATGTTGATAGATGCTCGCTCTAAGCTCATACGATCACTGATTAAGGGCAAAAACCGTTTCCTGGAAACTGATGATAAGAAAAAGACGAGGAGAGGGCTTCAAACCACACAGATGAAGCAGTTAACCGCAGAGAAATGTGACCAAAGATAAAAATATATCTCATTTACAGGGTTAGGAAATACAAGATTGACGACACTGTTGATTCCTCACACGTCAGCATGTGTTTAGCCAAACTTTATATAAATGAATTTAAATGAATCTTGTGTATTTGCATGCGTGTGTGTGTTTTGTTATTTTTTTTTGTTTTGTTTTTTGGGGGTGGTGATTGGTTGAGAGTCTAAAAACATTTACAACATTAACGGTGTTTCAGCACAGCACATTTCAGCGTTCACGATAACAAACATTTGATTACAATTACAGAGTTACGTGAGTGGAGTTTAACCTGTTTATCTATCTGAAGTTTGAAGAAAAGTCTGTCGAGTTTGGTGTAAAATTTGAAGTTTTAAACTCCATCTTCATTCATTTGAGCTGCTTGTATTGCAAAGAAAATGCACAGACTTCATTAAACTTTAACAAAAAAGAAAAAGCAACAACTTTATTTTCTCATGAACTACGTCTCTTTTTTTTTCTCTCTGGAGAAAATATGTTCTCATCAGAATCACATGACTGACTCACATATTTTTACTGAAACTAAACAGCCCACTCCAAACAAGAAATTAAAATAATACCACATATATACATGGAAAACAGCCTCCATACAGTTTGGGCCAAAAACAGTAATCGCCAGGCTTTTCAAATTAAACACTGCTCGCGTGTTTGTCTGTCTGTTTAGCGATACAGTTACAAGAAGAAATGACGAATTTCATCAAATTTCTAATTTACTTTGGTGGGAAAATGCTTCTTTATGGTGCGTTTTCTCATAAATCACTTCTCTTTCCTGTTGAATGCCACAAGAATCACATGACTGAGGCATGTGTCAGTTATGTGGATAGGTGCGTGGCAAAGAGATTTAAAATCGAAATGCATTTAGTGCACTTTTACTAAAACCTGTCTCTATACACATCTTTATAGAGCAAATTCAGCCAAACTTCATCACCTTTAATACATTTCTTTATATTTATATAAACAACATGAATGAAAATGAAACCCGAGGTTTATTGACAGTGAAGTATTTTCTTGTGTATTTTTTGTCTCTTAAAATGCAGTTTAAGAGCGACTCTGACCTGCTTAAATGTTTAATGAGCGTCTGTGATGTGAAAACAGGCTCTGCTGCATCTTTTGGCTATATCGACACACACCGACACAAACACACACGCCCACACTGAACCACACACGAACACACACCTGTCAGTTAATGAGCCACAGCGAGCACTCGGCAGCAGCTGAGGAAACCGCCGAGCTCCTTCACACTGACGCGCTGCACAAACAAAGACTGTCGACTGCTGTTGCTGTCAACCTTATTTTTATTCAGTTTTAGTCAAAATGATAGGAAGAAGTTTTTTCTTCTATAGCTTTATTTTAAACAGTCTTTTATCAGGGTTTATTTAACACATGGAAGCCCGAACTTTTTTCTTTACATTTTAGTGAAATGCGGAAAGTTGTACAACGTTCAAAGCTTGATTAGAAGCGTAGAAGTTGTAACAACAGTTCGTGAACTGTTACCAACATTAGAATCATTTTTGTTGTGTACTATCATTTTATTGGGGCTCTTAGTTGAACACAGAACTCAGTCAAGTTTGTGTTTCCTCTAACCTTTGAACTCTGATCTCCACAGAGGCAATGAACTTGTACGACCCTAAACTGTGTTACATCCTGGATGGCTTCCTCGGCATTTATGGCCTCATCATCACTGCCATGTTCATCAAAGAGAAGGTGGGTTTGTTTCTTTTTAATATTTACTGCTGATTGGATTCTAGTCTAGGAGTAAAAACAGATTCAAATCCAATTTTCATCTCTGAACCAAATCAGACCTGTTCAATAATGACTCTATAGCCTTCTTACTTTGCACTCCACAAAAGGCTGTTTTTGATTAACAGTCATTGATATTTTTCTGTAGTTCTTCAAATCGAAAGCGAAGATGGAGGAGGAGGGCTTATACAGTGTAAGTTACTATCACCTAACACCATAAACTGCTCGTTAGCCTGTTTTCCCCAATTTTAAGAGTGAATATTGGCACTGTACTGATCTTAGAATGGGAATAACTGTTGATGAGGAGAATGATGTGGATTAAAACGTGTTCTTGTTCAGGACCTGAAAGGTCAGGATCCAGGTACTTACGAGCCACTGAGAACGGGAGACCCCGAGAGAGGAAGAGTAAGTCTGCTATTCTCATACAACACATCTAATTAAGTACTGAAGTCAAATGTTTAAACACAAAAGACAAAAAAACAAATTTAGAATGTTTATATGTTTGATTCTACTTTTTTGATTCTGGAGGATAAGGCGCATTGTTGTCACACTGGATCGCCATCCTGCAGTAGTGACTGTTGCTGAGAGAACCTTAAAGTTTTTCCTAAACATCTCTAAAGTTATTTACAGTTTTATAATTCCGGTTCATTTAAAATTCCCAGATCTTTTAGACCTCATGGACTTGGCGTTTTAAGTGGTAGAAAGATATTGTCACTAATCCCATTTCCTTACCTGAATGATTGAGCATGCATTGAGATTTAATGTATTAGATAAGATCAACAAAATAACAGAGCCTCAAATCTTCTTCTAGAACACGTGTAGAAAGAGCAATCCTGGATTCTAAACGAAGAACATTAGAAGAATTGTGACAAACTAAAATACTGGAGACAAACTGCAAGAACTCCCAAACTGTGGACTTCTTAAAGAAACTGGGAACCACAAACCTGTGAAAAACCTAAACCACACCAAGAACCACAATAAACGCAAAATCTTGAGTTTGTTGTTGAGTACTCTAAAATAATTATTAGGAAATGTCCTCAGGAATAAATCTAAAGGACAAGAAAACAACTAATTTGCAGGAATTTTAAAAGACTCGTCAATATCTGGAAGATGTTTGAAGAACACTAAAACGCTTCTTAAAAGTTATGAATGGAATAAATGCATGGATCAAACATATCTGGGAGAAACTGTGACAAACTAAGTGGAATAGGACAAGTTTGAAAGAATTCATTAACTATGGACTTCTTAAATAAACCCCGTTCAGAGATCAGGAAGAACAAAAACCACTGAAGAACCCAAACCACTTCTGCAAGTAGTACAATTAATTGTACAATAACCGCAGCAAATGAAGTTCAGAAGAACTTAAGTAGACTATAAGAATAACTTATACCTAGCTTATACTGTATTTGGTAGTTTTTGCAAGTGGTTTGGTTTCTTCAGTGGTTTTTGTCCTTATTGGATTCATGTTTCCCTAAAAAATAAAACAGGGACCATGAACCATGACAAGGACAATTCGATAAAAATTAAAAAACAAACAAACAAACTGTTAACTACTTTTCAAAAACACTACAGGCTCCAAACCACCTGTACAAGAACTACAATAAATGTGAAGTATTCTTAAGAACTTGCAGATCATAAGTGTCAAACTCTGGCCCGCGGGCCAAATTTGGCCCTCAGCCTAATTACATTTGGCCCGCGAAGCCATACCAAATTACTATTAGAGCTGGCCTACTGGTACTATACAGCTAATATATATATCGTTTAGTATTAAGCTTTGATTGTTCCATACTCAGTTTTTCAGCAAAACTTGTTTGAGTCCATAAGAAAAGATTCATTCTTATATCTGGAGGAAGATTTTTTTTTCAATAAATATTAATGTTAGCCCGCGACTTTGTTCCAGTTTTGAATTTTGGCCCACTGTGTATTTGAGTTTGACACCCCTGTTGTAGATTATGTCCAAAGAAGTTTCAAAAACAACAAAAGAATGGTTTCTCAGGAATTTTAAAGACTTGAAAGTTGTTGAAGAACCCTCAATTCCTTCTTAGAGGAAGAAGGAAAAGAACCCAACATAGGTTCTCTATTTTAAAGTCTGTTAGAACCTCCTGCCTTAAAATTGCACTTGTGACTTCTGTTCCTTTCTACAGAACCGCAGGGTAGCTGATGACGCCACGTACACGGTAACAAACAATATCTTATTATTAATATTATTATTATTATTATTAATAAATTTTTTGTAAACACAGAACTCTTGGAAGTTTGCATACTAACACAGAAAACTCGTATCTGAACTTGTTATATTTTTAAATTCAGGGCCTGAACAAACGCACAGATGGAGAATATAAGGAGCTTCCTCTGAAGGTTTGTAATAAATGACCGAAACAAATTGGTCAGTTTCTCACTTCTTGTTTATCATCTACTTAATTAAATTCCATCAACAAAAACCTTATGTCTAATTATTTACACTGACATTTTTACAGCGTCCAAAAAAGAACGAACAGGTTTACCAGGTGAGTGTAAAAGCTTCATTAGCTTTAAAGAGATAAATCAAAATTAACCATATCACTTGAATACAATTTTGTGATTAAATTAAAAAAAAAAAAAACCTGATGATCGATTGATTTTGGTCATTTTTAGGGTCTGAGTTCGGCCACCAGGGACACCTACGACTCCCTCCAGATGCAATCGCTTCCACCTCGCTAAGAAGCCACCAAAGAGCTGCTGATGAGCCCCGTCCAGACGTCTGCTCCAGAGATTATTCATGGGAATTTTCACACCAACTGAGAACAGCTTGAGCATCTTTGTTTTACTTTGAAGATATTAAGGTTTGCCAAGTTTATAATAAGTCTGTAAATGGACTGAAAATTTTAGCCTTTCTCAGACTTTATATTTAACAAAACATCTGGAAGGTCTGTTTTCCATCAGACTTCAAACGTGCATTTAAAATTTGTCTTTTTAATGACTTAATGTCCAATATTTTACAAATATTTTTACACATTCAATAGTGATCAACTGAGATCCAACTTTTCATTCTTTTTTTACCTAACTTTTTTGCAGTTTTATAGCTTGACCTTTTGAAGTATATTAGTACATAACGAGTTAATATCCAATGTCTATCTGACTGTAATGCAAATTTAAGACCCATAAAGACAACATAGTAAAAACCAGTACGACATGTACTGGAATTTAAACAAATTTAAATTTGAAATAAATTTTTGTGCTTTTTTTTAAAACAAATATTCATATTATGTTGTGTAGTATTATGAAATCTTTTTAACTGTTTACAACTACATTACAGTGATTTATGAAACGTTTATTAATTAATTACTATACAGTCACTATACAGTGAACTAATACCAATTTTTATTTTTATTCATTTTACTTGTTGTTTTATTTTATTTACTTTAAATATAAAAAAAAATCATAAGAGTTTTCAAGAATTCCAGGATTCAGGAAATCAGAGTTGGAACGATTAATCATTTAATTGATTACCTGATTAAAAGAATGTTCAATTCTTTTACATTTTTAACACATTTTTAGATTTTGGATTAAATCATCGGTGCTGTCGGATGTAATAACTGGTATTAGAGGCTTGAAACTTACTCGGTGACATATCCGACCTCTATAAATTTTCACATTCACGTAGAAAAAAAAAGCTTACATGATTATTTCTGAATCCATATTGAGTATGTTATGACCTGGTTCTCAGTTTAAAACTGTAAACAAACAAACTGCAGTTTGTACCTTGTTTACATAGGTTGTTTAATTTAACACAGTTATATATCAGGGTATTTGTTGTGGATTAATAGCACAGTTCAAAGATTTTTAAGGCTGAAACACCTTTAAAACTGATCCAAAGCGAATTTATGAGAAAAAATAATGTAGAACTTATTTTATGATTTGAAATGGAGGCTTGCCTCTTTTGAAATGCTTTCAAATTTGATAAAGATCCGTAAAAAATGGATAAATGCCATTAACACCAAGTCTGTCTTAAATAATGAACATCTGTAAAATTTAAAAGCTGCACTAATGTGGTGTGGAAGACAGATGTTTCACAATATTCCTGAAAAGAGCTTGGTGCCGTTTCAGTGGACACTCGAGGAGCTATTTTTCACTGATGTATATATTAGGTTGTAAAATAAAAAGACATCAAAGAACTTCAGTCTGCACTTAGATCAACACAGAAAAGCTGCAGCTTCATTTCTGCTTTTTATATTTATCATCTAAAAATGATGAAGTCTTGAGTAACATCTGGAGAATCACAGCTGCAAAGAAAGAAAAACCTCAAGATTGAATCAATCAATATTCATTACATGAGTGATGGCAAAATATGAAACGATATGAAATATGAAATAAATGTAATATTTTTAAGTATGTATTTTGAAACATTTCTTCATTTGGTCTTTTTCACAATAAAAGACAAAAAAACTTTCAAATGAGCAATAAAACCCGTAAAATAAATAAAACAAAATTGGTTGAAAAATGTTCAAAAGCTTATTATTATTATTATCCGTTTCAAATTTCTGCAATAATGAATGGGCTTCCACACTTTTCAGGTCTAAGATTTAGTTGTAATTTTTAAAAGAGCACTGCAGCTTTAAGTTACTATATGTTTTGCCTTGTCCTGTATAGAGTTATTTGTAGTTTTCTGTGTTCATGTATTTCATCTGATGTGTTGGATAGTTTGCATGGTAGTTTCTTTTTTTCCTGATATTTTCCTGAGAAGTTGTGCTGCAAACAGTTATTCTATTCCTGTATGAATATCATTGCTTCATTATTAAAGTTTGCAAAATTCTGAGGGTTTTTTTTCTCATTTCAAAATGTGTCATGAATAAATAAACAATGGCAAATGGCCTGTATTTGTATAACATTTACTAGTCCCTAAGGACCCCAAAACGCTTTACACATCCAGTCATCCACCCATTCACACAATGGTGATGGCAAGCTATATTGTAGCCACAGCCACCCTTGGTCGCACTGACAGAGGCGAGGCTGCCGGACACTGGCGCCACCGGGCCCTCTGACCACCACCAGTAGGCAACGGGTGAAGTGTCTTGCCCAAGGACACAACGACCAAGACTGTCAGAGCCGGGGCTCAAACCGGCAACCTGCAAACTCTTGAGCCACGATCGCCCCTGTATAAATAAACGTGAGAGTTTTCAGAGGACTTGAAGATGAGATGCTGGATGCTTCTGCCACCTGATGGACAAACATTAAAGTACATCTCTGAACAAAAACGACTTTACAATTAGTTTTTCACTTTATGATGAAAAAGAACAACTTTTACCCTTAAAGTCCAGTTAATCTAAAATTTCATGATGAGTGATTAATGGATTAATGGGTAAATTACAGAATTTAATGGATTAATTACATGTAAACCGTTAAACGTGTTTCTTTAAAGGTCTTAATATGTTTAGAAAAAAGTTATAGCTCTTTTTTGGTAATTAAAAATAGCAAAAAAGGCTTTGTGACAATAACAGTTAAAGAACCTTTATTTTTAAATAAGTGAGGTTCAAATTTGTTGATTATCCGATGATTTTAAAACACATACATATTAAAACTGAAGAAATGAAGGGAACCTTAAGGTAACACTTAAGTATAAGTATAGAGTAGAATAGCCCCTGAGGGTGGTTTATCCTACAAGCTCAGGTCTTCTACCACAGGCCTGGGAGTTTGAGGGTCCTGTGCAGTATCTTAGCTGTTCCTGGGACTGCGCTCTTCTGGACAGAGATCTTCGATGTTGCTGTTGTAGCCACTTGCCTATAGCCCACATCTTCTCCAGCTCTTCTCTGAGCCTTTGGTATTTCTTGAGGTCCTTCATCCTGATGTTGCTCTCATTCTGTATCACTACATCTATCACTACGGCCATCTTCTTCTTCATCTTCTTCATATATCTACATTTTATTGGATTTCATGTCATGAATGCATAAAAGTACAGAGCCCCGCAGGGGACATGGGAGAAAAAAAAATTAAGACAGACTTTTGTGAGATCTCGCAAAACTTTTGCGAGATCTCACAAAAGTTTGCGAGATCTCGCAAAACTAAGTCGGGATATCTCGCAAAAGTTTTAGCCGCATTCTTCGGACGCCGGCTCAAAGCCGACCGGGAGGTTGAGGCACAATGTGCCGGGAAAGCGGTGTTCCTCCCGGCTGTAGTAGGTCTCGACCTCCCGTTAGCTCGAAGCTAACGGGAGGTCGAAGGCCGAAGATTGCGGCTAAAACTTTTGCGAGATCTCGCAAAACTTTTGCAAGATCCCGAGTTAGTTTTGCGAGATCCCGAGTTAGTTTTCCGAGATCTCACAAAAGTACGTCTTAATTTTTTTTTCTCCCATGTCCCCTACGGGGCTCCGTAATAAAAGTAATACAATCTTTGATGTGATGAAATTTTAAATTGTATTGTTCTTAAAATATTTCAAATTCTGAAAATTACAACTTGTTACATTTTTGAAAACTATTTTTCATAAAATGAATTAATTTAGTAATTAATATATTGTTAAATTACATTGTTTAAACTTACAGTAATAGCTTTTCAGTGGTTTTACGTTGTCCGGTATTCGTTTTTCAAAAATAAAACTGAATAGTCTTTGACTATAAAATAAAAGACCTTGATGTAAAATTAGGTTTTTGTGTATGGGCAGAAATCTGTGCCATCAGAAACTGAATTTGAATAAGTTCATTTTGAATTTGAATTGCTCAGATTGAATCTGAATTGTAACTTGAATAAATGCTTTTGAAAAACGAATTTGAATTAGTCTAATTTGAAATTGAATTTATGGTTTGAAAATGATCATCACTAAATTGAAATTGAATTTTATATTTTGAAAATGAATTGATTTGCTTTGAAACTGCATTTTATCCTTTAAAAATTCAGCTCTCGAATAATTTCAGTTTCACTTCTCACCATTCAATTTCAGTTCCAAAATTCAGTTTTTTGGAACTTACATCCGGTTCCGGTTCAAGCGCAGATTAATAGAACTACGTTTTACTAGCGGACCGAAAGTGTTACTGACGGGAATCTACAGCGTCTTGAGCTGAATTAAGACTTCAGAAGTCATTCGTCATGTCGAATGACCAGCGGATAAACTCTCAGGTTGGTAATAAATGTATTACATGTATAAGAACAAGCGTCATGTTAACAAATGATAGCCGTACGGTAACTTTTATGCTTATTGTAGCTGTTAGCTAAAAACGCTAATTTAGCGTAGTTTGCCCTGAATTCAGCTTTGACAAACAAATATGATCGACTGTTTCTAGTAGAATTCCAAAGTTGTCATCTTGGACCCTCTCAGAGTACCCCCTCTGTATGCTTGCAGAGACCCCTACAGTAGGGAAACATGCAAAACGGTGTCCAAACCTTTGTGTTTTAGCTTTATTTATGTCTTACACAGCATCCCAACTCTTTAGCTAACTTAATAACTTTAGCTAAAGTGAATAGTTAGTCTAATTCATTAGTGCAGCATTACTGGATCACCTCTGTTTGAAGTGATATGATATACAACTTTCACTGTGTTTAACTACCATAATAATTCTACTTAATTAATTTTTTTTTAAAAACATACTGCTCCATTAATATGTTTGACAGGCTGAAGTTGTCGGGTCACCTCCTAAATCGACCATCTTTTACAGGTGTTTTGTGCCAGAAATGGAGTGTCCACTGAAGACTGAAGATACTGAATCTCTACGCCTTGCCATCCATCCCTCTTGTGCCTTCATCTAGACAAGAGACAAACTTAACCACTCTCATATGCTCTGTACCTACATCACCTTCCCTGACAGTCGTAGCTTGGCTCATCTGAGGGTGAAATTATAAGAATGTGTTATTTTGCAAAGTGCTCTCTAGGGTTCCTAAATAAAATATGGCATTGAGGTCTTTTGAATTAATCCCTTCTTCTGAAATATAAGAACCTCTCCTGGTTTTAATGGCACTTTGGATTTCCTTACTTTCTGTTCCACTCCCAACCCCAAATAGATGCTGACAAGCTGCCACAGTAACATGGAAGAGGGAAAGAAGTTGGAAAGGACTACTACAAATAAACCTAATGCCTAACAATGTAAAATAAGAACAATAATAAAGATAAGATGAAGTAACAAGTTTTTTGTTTATTCCAAATGATCATCCAGATGTCTGTGACATGTGATGACAAACACCATAATGGAAGGCCTTGGTCATCACATGCTTAAACTCATATATTTTTGCATATGCTGAACAGGCAGTCAGACATGCTGTAACTGTGGGGTAGAAAACAGCATAAACACCATACGGCAGTCCTCGAGGGCATGGAGAAGTTGCATGACACTGGCCCTTGAGGACTGGAGTTGAGACCCCTGTCATATGGAATATGACAGGTGTGGTTGAAATGCATGAAGACTCTGAAGCTTCTCTTCTCTTCTGGCAGGACAGGAATGTGGCCTTGTCCTGTGAGCCACTGTAAGGATGTACTTAGAGTAGAACTGGACTGTCACCGGCCTCAGGCTCTTCACCCTTTTCAAAGACAAAGCAGTCATTTAGATAAAATATTAGATATTGTTTACCTGTAAATGCACAAAGTAAATTTAGAAATATAATTATTGTCAAGAGTGAACAAGCACTGATAGTGTAATCTACAGCTGTGGCCAAACGTTTAGAGAATGAGATGTGTTGTTTGCTTATTTACAAAGTTTGCCGTTTCAGTGATAGTTGTAAATCACATTATATCACTTCAAACAGAGGTGATCCAGTAATGCTGCACTAATGAATTAGACTAACTATTCACTTTAGCTAAAGTTATTAAGTTAGCTAAAGAGTTGGGATGCTGTGTAAGACAAATAAAGCTAAAACACAAAGGTTTGGGCACCGTTTTGCATGTTTCCCTACTGTAGGGGTCTCTGCAAGCATACAGAGGGGGTACTCTGAGAGAGTCCAAGATGACAACTTTGGAATTCTACTAGAAACAGTCGATCATATTTGTTGTCAAAGCTGAATTCAGGGCAAACTACGCTAAATTAGCGTTTTTAGCTAGCAGCTACAATAAGGATAAAAGTTACCGTACGGCTATCATTTGTTAACATGACGCTTGTTCTTATACATGTAATACATTTATTACCAACCTGAGAGTTCATCCGCTGGTCACTCGACATGACGAATGACTTCTGAAGTCTTAATTCAGCTCAAGACGCTGTAGATTCCCATCAGTAACACTTTCGGTCCGCTAGTAAAACGTAGTTCTATTAATCTGCGCTTGAACCGGAACCGGATGTAAGTTCCAAAAAACTGAATTTTGGAACTGAAACTGAATGGTGAGAAGTGAAACTGAAATTATTCGAGAGCTGAATTTTTAAAGGATAAAATGCAGTTTCAAAGCAAATCAATTCATTTTCAAAATATAAAATTCAATTTCAATTTAGTGATGATCATTTTCAAACCATAAATTCAATTTCAAATTAGACTAATTCAAATTCGGTTTTCAAAAGCATTTATTCAAGTTACAATTCAGATTCAATCTGAGCAATTCAAATTCGAATTTAACTTATTCAAATTCAGTTTCTGATGGCACAGATTTCTGCCCATATTTGTGTTTTTAAAATCATATACATAGCATTTTGTGTGCACATTTCTTGCTTTGGTAAGTATACGAAAAACCTCAAAGCTACAATTTTCCCTAAATGTAGTTTTATTTTGAAAACAAAGGGGGAAGTTGAGTAAGCAGCTAACTCCATGCTAGACCCAAACAGCTGATTAGCATAAAGGCTATGAGGCCAGCAGGGTCTCTGGTTGTCTGCTGCACGCAAACGTCAACATTAGAGCTGAAGTTAAACGATG